TTTTATTCCCAAACATCACTTTATCAAATTCAATTAAAAACTTCCTTGGTAGTAGATAGTCCAATCTTTATATGCATTCGTCTTCATTGTCAGTTAAGTATACTTTCTGTCTGTCTTTTATGGGCATAAGCTCAATAGTTACCCACACTGGTCCCCACAATCTTGTAGAATGTCCTGTCACACCATAAAGCTTCTGTATGGCTTCTGGTACTCCTTCGTGATTTAACACCTTGATGCTCACAAGGGTTAGCTGAGATGCATAGTCTATGACAAAGTTGCACCTTTGGCCATCTAGCTTTCCTGTCACGTAGACACTGTGTATGCTTGGCATTTTACACCTAGCTGTTGGGACTTTCACGATGGGGGTTGGTGAGTGTCCCTCAACACCAACCACTACCGGTCTCTTTGAGGCTGACTTGTTGGTAATATTCCTCCCACACTGGCTCCTCAAATGTCCGTGCTTTCCACAGTTCCAGCAACCTTTCTAGATACCAGCCTTTCCTGCTGTGGCATCTTCCCAGTGTTGAAGTTGCCAACATTGAGCTCTCTTGTGCCAAGGTTTGTTACAGTGCCATCAAAGTCTCTCAAACCTCTCTGAAAGCTGACCTTTTCTGGCCTTAAATCCAGATGACTGTACCAACCTCGGTACTTCTGTGCTGGACTTAACATAGGATTCAAATTCGAGAGCTCTGGCCATTGCATCCTGCATGGTAGAGGGTGTGCTTGCTTCACTTGTATCTTAAGTTGTGGACTGTCCAAGGCATCTACGAACTGATCCCTCAGCAACAACATGAGGAGATCGGGTGGTGCAGTTGGGTAGCCCTTGTGTGCCATGCTTTCCAAGTCCTCTTGCAGGCTTAGCACAGACTCTCGTCCTAAACCAAGCCCTGTAGACTTCCGACTGATTTTGGGTTCCGTACCTGAGTTCTAGAGCCGCTACCAATGCTCTGTAGTTGTGCCTGTCGTCTGCTGACAACTGTCCAAGTATTTCCAGTGGTTGTCCTTTCAATCTCGTTGCCAGATATACTGCTTTCTGCTCCTCTGTCCATCCATTCATCTCTGCCAGTAGCTCAAACTGTGCTCTATATGCTTCCCACGGTGCTTTCCTATCGTATTCCTGTGGCTTCCTTCGCACTGGATCACTCCTATTACTAACATTCATATCTGGAATGTGACTTCTAATAGGGCTGAAGATGTCTGCATTAGGGTTTAGCTGCAAAGTCTGGAAGGGGCTTGTCATTGTCTGGGGCTGGTTAAGTCGATGTTAATGTATCCTCCATATGTAAAAGACAATAAATCGTCCTTTAACGTATCTAATTCGCTTTTAAATTTACTAATGTTTTCCATTTGTACTTCTTGTTTCCTTTCTTGTTCCAGTTGCCACTGCTTTAGTCTTTCTTCTTGTTTATTTTGCTGTTCGAGCTGCCACTGTTGCAGGTTTTCTTACCACTGCTGTAATTTCTCTTTTTGTTTCTTTTCTTTTTCCTCTAAGAACTGCTGTAATTTCTCTTCTTGTTTCTTTTCTCGTTTTTCTTGTTTCTTTTGCTGCTCTTGTATTGCTGCCATCAAGTCTGCTAAGCTGTAGTTTGATTTGCCGCTTCTCGTCACCATTTTTTTTTGTCCCACTCTCTGACACCAATTTGTTACGTCTCCTTTTGTTAATTGATTTTTCCGTAAATTCGTTCCGGCGAAACTTTAGCAACACAAGTCCTTTCTTAATAAACCTGGTTTATTCTTTTCGAATACAACTTTAAGATACACTTAATTTCAACAGTCGCGCTATAACAAACGCTATATCTCAAGTGGCCAACAATATTTTCTCTGATTGCAGAGACTACACACTTTTTTTCCCGTCACATTGTGACCATCCTATATATACCA